TCTTTTCCTTTATTTCTTTGAGAGAAATTTTTATTTCCTGATTAATGGCTTCACACATTCTTCTAAAGGTATTTTTTAAGGTTATTTTCTTCTGCTTCCTCTATATTGGAGTATTCAGGTTTTACTGTTGTAGGGCCACAGTTTTTGTTGGTGCTGTGTTGCTCTTTGTGGTGTTGAGTGTGTTCTTACTTTGTCTACTTACATTTTCCTCTGGTTGGCATAGTTAGGATTGTGTCTCTGGTGATCACTCTTCCAGGTGCCAGTGGATCCAAGGCTCGGATGGTTGTTCCTTGTGGTGGAGTTGGGGCCAAAGTTCCAGTCAAGGCAGAGGTCACTTGGTGTTCCGGGGGTTGCTCGACACTTCCAGAGGTTGATCTGCAATCCTAGAGGTTGGTCGGGCCTGCTCCCATAAAGGTTGCTTGTTTGGGCCCGTTCCCATGGAGGTAATTTGTTTGGGCTTGTTTCTGTGGAGGTCGCTGGCTTGGACCTGGTCCAGAGGAGGTCACTGACTTGGGACTGGTCTGACAAAGGCCACTGGCTTGGGCCTGTTCTGGCAGAGGTCGTTGGCCTGGGCCTGGTCCCACAAAGTTACTGGCTTGAGCCTGGTCCCGTGGAGGTTACTCACTCAGCCCTGCCCCCATGGAGGTTGCTGGCACGGGTCCATTCCCACAGAGGTTACTGACTCAGGCCTGCTTCCTCAGAGGTCACTCCCTCATACCTGCTTTGGTGGAGGTCACTGGCCTGGACCTGGTCCCATGGAGGTCAGTGCCTCGAGCATGCTTCCATGGATGTCCCTGTCTTGGTCCTGTTCCTGCACTGGTCACTGATCTGGGCTGCTAGGAACTTTTTAGACATAAAATTTTCAATGTTAGAACTAGGATATTCTAAGAATGATGTTCCTGGGTTACCATGACTGACTTTGTGAGAATGGACCAGCCACTCTGCCTTGCTTATCTTTGATAACGTCTCCCCACTTAAAGGTTACCATTGGTAGTCAGTTAGAGATGACTTCATTTGACTGTCAATGTGGTAGCCAGGAATAAAAATGTGCATGTATGGAATCCAACCCCACTCATACATATATTGATTCCCCAAATACACCTTTTAATAGTGCCATTCTCTTTAGGGGCCATTTTCTTTCAAACCACTATATTCCACTCCCTGGCTCCCAAAGGCTTATAGCCATAGCGTAACACAAAAAAATGCATTCATTCAACTTCAAAAGTCCCCATAGTCTATAACAGCCTTATACTTGTTTCAAAGTCCAAAGTCCAAAGTCTCTTCTGAGACACACGACAATCTCTTAGCTATAATCCCTTATAAAACTAAGAATTAAAAAAACCATATATTTCCAATGTATAATGACACAGGATATACATTACCTTTACAAAATACAGGGATGGGAGAATAGCGAGAAAATACTGGACCAAAGCAAGACCGAACACCAGCTGGGCTAACTCTAAACTTTGAAGCTCTATGTCTGATGTCAAAGTGCTCATCAGACCTCCAGCTCCTTTCATCTTTGTTGACTGCAAGCATACTTCCTCCTCTTGGACTGGCTCCACCCTTGTTAGCAGCTCTCCTTAGCAGGTATCCCATGACTCTGGCATCTCTAACACCTTAGGCTCTCCAAGGCAATCCAGGCTTCAACTTCATAGCTACACAATGGCCTCTCTAGGCCTCCATTCAGGGACACCCCTGACATATGCCTGACTTCCGCAGCTTGCTTTAGGTGTGGAGGCAAATTTCATAACCCATTTCCTCTGTCCTTTACTCTAAAGCCAGAACCACATGACTGAAGCTGCCAAGTTCTTCTGCTTGCTAGGGCTGGATCATGTCCTTATCAAATTATACCTTTATCAGTTTTCTGTCCCTCACTGCCTATGCTTGGCTGTCCTGAAACTTGCAATGTAGACCAGGCTGGCCTCAGACATACATATCTGCCAGCCTCTGCCTTCCCAGTGCTGGGATTAAAGGTATGCCCCACCATCCCTGGTTCTAAGTTTTTCTTTAGTTTCTTTCCACAAGATGGAAGTTTATCTGGATGGGATCTTGTCCTGAGATCACCACTCCCTTTATCCCATTTCTTAACCCATTTATCTCCTTGAACCCAAAATTTGGCTCTGTTCCATTTCCTGGTGTTCTCTTTTCCCTCAAAATTTTCATTTTGTATTTTACCCTGCTCAGCTTGCTCCTATTCATTATAAATCTTCATTAGAGTTACCACTAAAAACCACATTATAACATCTATACTAGGCCGTTTTCACATTTCCTCTGCCAAGAGAATTTATCTAAAACTCTTTACTTTAGCCCCAGGAAGACTCTTTGGACAAGGGCAAAAAGGCAGTTACTTTCCTCCAAATATTGTGATATTTTCACCAAAATATAACAAGGACAATCTCTAAGCAACATACTAAAATTCTTTTCTGAAACCTATTGAGTGAACACCCCAGAGTTCAAGTCACACTCAGCACCACTGTCTTCTATGCTCCTACTAACATGGCCTATTAGGCAGCACTTGAAGCATTCCACTGCTCTCATAAGTCAGAGTACCAAACTCCAAATTCCTCTAAACAAAAGCATGGTCAGGCCTATCACAACAACACCCCAGTCCTTGGTTCCAATTTTTGTATTAGGACTTTTCTCAATGCTGTGAAGAGACACCATGAACACAGCAACTCTTATAAAGAAAACATTTAATTGGGGTGCACTTACAGTTCAGATGTTTAGTTGATTGTCATCATGGTGGGACATGGTGGTGTGTAGGCAGGTGTAGTGTTGGAGCTGCGAGTGTTACATCTTGCAGGCAACAAGAAGTCAGCTGACATACTCACTGAGGAAAGTTTGAGCAAAAGAGACCTCAAAGCCTGTCCCCACAGTGACACACTTTATCCCACAAGGCCACATCTCCTAACAGTGCCACTCTCTTTGGGTGCCATTTTCTTTCAAACTACCACACTCTGCGTAGTGGTCCAGAGAGGTCGTTGCATGAAACTGTGAAAGTGAAGTCTAAATTGTTTTGAAGAACCCAAGATGTTGGTGATACCAGAACCATGGGATACCTGCCAAGGAGAGCTGCTAACAGGAAGTGGAACCAGCCCAAGAGAGAGAAGCGTGTCACAGTCAATGAAGCAGAACAGAGTTGCATATCTGAAGAGTGTTTGACATCAGACATAGAGATACAGTTTGGAGCTTGCCCAGCTGGGTTTTGATCTTACTTTGCTCCAGTATTTCCTCACTGTGCTCCCTTCCCTACAATTTGGAATGATAATGTATGTCCTGTGCCATTATATGTTGGAAATATGTGATCTTATCTTTGACTTTGTTTTTATAAAGGATTACAGTTAAGAGCGTGCATGAGTCACGAGGTAGTGGTGTACTTTAATCCCATCACTTGGGAGGCAGAGGCAGGAGGGTCTTAGTGAGTTTGAGGCGAGCCTGGTCTACAAAGCAAGTTCCAGAATAGCCAGTACTGTTATACAGAGAAACCTTGTCTTGAAAAACATAAAAAAAGGAGAAAAAAGAAAAAAAAGAAAAGAAAAATAAAGAGAGAAAGATAAAAAGATTGTATGAATCTCAGAAGAGACTTGGAACTCCATACACTTAAATATATTTAAATATATTTGAGACTGTTATAGACTATGGGAACTTTTGAAGTTGGACTAAAAGCATTTTTGCATTATGATATGGCTGCAAGCCTTTGGTGGTCAGGGAGTGGAGTGTGGTGTTTTGAAAGAAAATGTCCCCCATAGGGAGTGGCACTATTAGAAGGTTTGGTTGTGGTCTTGTTGGAGGAAATGTGTTACTGTGGGCATGGGATTGGAGGTCTTCTATATCTATGCTTGGTGACACAGTTTATTTCTTATTTCCTGCAGGATTAAAATGCAGAATTCTCAGCCGCTTCTCCAGCACCATGTCTACCTGCATGCTACTATGTCCCACCATGATGATAATGGACTAAACCACTGAAACTATAAGCCACCCCAATTAAATGGTTTCCATTATAAGAGTTGCTGCGATCACTGTGTCTCTTCACGGTGATAGGAACCTTAGCTCCATCTGCAGGAAGAATGTGGCAAATGTTGAACTAAAGACATTGCCAAGTTCTTCAGCAGTTCAGAGGTGCCAGGTTTTTAGTTTTTTTTAGTTCCTAAGTAGGAAAAATTTATATTGAGTGTTAGGAAGAATAGGTGTTGATAAGCAGGGACTGTAGGAGACAGAGTCCTGAGCATGCAAGCTGCTGAAGACATAGCCCACGCCCTCAAGTCACCTAATTCCAAGGGTGAGACTGTGGTAGTTTGAATGAAAATGGCCCCCATAGGTTCACAGGGAGTGGCTCTATTAGGAGGTGTGACTTTGATGGAGCACATGTGGCCTTGTACGCCAGGGCCAGTGTCATTTTCTCCTTCTACTGCCTGCTGATCCGGACGTAGAACTCTTGGCTCCTTCTTCAGCACCATGTCTACAGGCGTCTGTCATAATTCTTGCCACGATGATAATGGACTAAACCTCCGAACTGTAAGCCCCAATGAAATGTTTTCCTTTGTGGGAGTTTCTGAGGTCATAATGTCTTTTCACGGTAATAAAATCCTAAACCGGAGCCTGAACAGTGCACATCAGTGCTGTGGGAGTTCAGGGAGAGGAAAGATTATTGTAATCTGTGGGAGGGAGGATGTAATGGTAGGGAATGTGGAATAAGATGGTTTCAAAATTTAATTACATTTATTTAGTTGTGTGTGTATGCCTGTGGTGGTCAAAGGACAATGGTCAAAACTTGCCAAAGTCAGCTCTCTACTTCTACTGGATGGGTTCTGGGGATGAAACTCAGGGTGTCAGACTTGGTGGCAGGCACCTTTACCCACTGAGCCAAACTGCAGGCTGTATTAGTAAGTCAGCACTGGAACAGAATGCTTGGCACAGGATGAATTTATTTTAAGTCCAAAGGGTTCATTCAGCTCTTGGCTCCATATACTTCAGCCAAGCATTATGGCAGGGGAGTGTGTGGTTTCATGGAACATTTTCATTGCATGGTAAAACTCTAGTATGCAGAGGGTAAGAGAGACATGACGGGCTACATGCAATCAAATGACTTCAAAGTCACACCCCCAGTGAATTCCTTCTTCCCCAAGTTTCCAATATCTGTTAAAGTATAATCTGAGGATTACGTAGTCAACACATGAGCCGTGTTCAAACACAACAGAGTTTCAGTCAGTGTAGGCAAACAGTTGGGATACAGTCTTTGACAGAGCAGAAGGTTGGAAGTCAGGATTCTGCCATATTTCTGATCTCAGGAGAAGCCTGGGACAGAGTATGTGTGTCTGGGAGTGTGGGAACCGTGGGGCTAAGAGGATCGCCTAGATGACTGCGCTCAGGAGCCTGGATGGAAGCTTGGCTTAAAATCCAGAGCCAGCTGGAAAGTCTAGCAGCTTTATTGAGTGCCTGGGACGACAGCCTGAAAGAATTGATTCACGGTTTCTTCCATCAGCACGACTGGACGAAGGAGGCCAATCTTGAGAATTCTTTACCAATCCAGGTGAATGTGTGTATGTGGCTGGGCTAACGCAGAGGCAGGAGATCTGGCAGACATTGGGAGAGAGCTTCTGACAGCCAATCTGGTGACAAATCGCGCAAAGCAGATGAAAGAAGAGGCGATTTACTTATCTTTAAAGTGGGAGTCTTGCACACAGCATTCCTTTCCCTTCTGGAAATTCATAACTTCCAGGTTTCTCGACTTAGCGGCTGGGAAAATTGCCAGCACCTTCCTTCTTTCTCCTTTCACGTCCCGTTCCAGAGTGGGTGGGAGGAAGCAAGGGTGGCGACTGGTCTCTGGAAGATGTTTCACTTTGGTAGGGAGGCTGGCCATTTGGACAGGTCACGACACAGTCATGTGACAGTGGACACTCCTATAGAGTTAAGAGAAAACTGAAGGAATTCAGCTTCGCCTGGAAAGGTGGAGTTAAGTCAATGGGCATCTCATGTCAATCACAGCAGCAATGGGGACGGGGCGAAGGTCCGATGGAAGGACTCTAGGCAGGAGAGATGCAAGCGACCCGCCAGGACTAGAGTGACTGGAAGCCAGGTAGGCTGGGGCCGAGGGATGGGTAGAAAGGAAATGTGGTGGAGATGTGGCAACAGAGCTAGGCTGTGCTGATGGAGGAGAATCTTCTTATGAAGGAATTTGGCTAGGAAGGGGCTCCTGATAAAAGATACTGGTGGTGTTTAAGAGGTGTAGTGAATGATCTGGGTTGTGCTTAGGAGGTAAGATTGACGGCCCTGGAGGAGCGGTGACCACAATGAGCGCTAGAGGCCCTGGGCAGGAGTTGGGTGTGACTACTATAGTGCAGGCGAGAGACATTGCTAAATGGGGTCTTAGGAAGTGTGGGTGAAAGCTGAGCTCAGATTGGAAAGAGGCAGACTTTAGGAGCCAGAAGGACACGATTTTATAGAGCATTTCACTTTGCTGGCCTCTGGGGCTAAGACAATAAGCATTACTATTCTGAGCCCCCCCCCCCCCCCCCATTTTAAAGCTCATCTGCAATTTGCTGACACTTGCAAGGGATGCACAGGGGATGACAGGAGTGGGGTGGACAGGAAGGAATGGCACGATGAGACTTGTATCTTGCTGTGCTGTTGTCCTCATTTGAGGGATTCTGGTGAGTCCATTTCACATAAGACACTTTCAGCTTAAACGACGGTGACACTTGTTACAAAGAAAACAAAAATTTCACGGATAGTCACCTGAGCGGGTCACCGAGAGCCCGGATTGCTTATCCCTTTCTGTTCAGTCACTTTAGCCTCTTAAAGAACCTTCTCTCTTAGTCACAAGGTGACTGCTACAGCTCCCGGCATCATATGCATATCTTGTATCAGGAGTCACATCCTAGCAAAATTCCTTTATAAGAAGGTCCTCTGACATCAGTACAGCCTAACTCTGTTGCCACATCCCCACCACATTCCCTTTCTCCCCATCCCTCGCCCCCAGCCTACCTAGCTTCGGTCAGGCTAGTCCTGGCGAGTTGCTTGCATTTCTCCTGCCTAGAGTCCTTCCATCGGACCTTCGCCCCGCCCCCATTGCTGTGTGATTGACGTAAGATATCCATTGACTTAACTCCACCTTTCCAGGCGAAGTTGGATTCCTTCAGCTTTCTCTTAACTCTATAGTAGTGGCAGTGAACTCTTTCCAATTTGTGTGTCTCCATTCTACCAAGGATCCTGCCCCAGAACCTCCATCAGATTTGCTGTGTCTCAGCGGAAGGGAATGGGCTGGAGATTCACCCCTGAGCTAGCCACCAACAATGGAAATGGGCAGGCGGGAAATACCTGAAGCAGAATTTACACATTTTATTCCAGCAGCGAGTGACATAGCCTGTGAATAGGTAAATGTTTCTCCTGTTTAAAGTTCCTGGGCTTAGGAAAATTATTTCTTAGTGTTTGGAAATGCAGTTTTGTGCTTCTGATCCCCCAGGTAGGGCAGGAGAAATAGATTTCAAAGAGATTGGAAGAGAGATGGAGTTCCTCTCTTCATCCCCCTCCTGCTCCTCCCCTAAACTGACCCTGGTGGTTTGAATGACAAATGTCCCCCATAGTCTCAGGCATTTGAATACTTGGCTTAGGTTGGTGGCACTGTTTGGGTATGTTTAGGGGGTGCAGCTTTGTTGGAAAAAGTATGTCACTAGTGCTGGGCACTGAGGTTTCAATGTCTCACATGACATCCTTAGGGCGCCCTCTTGTTTCTTGCTTGTCGTTCAAGTGTGAGTCTCCAGTTTCTGCCCTCATTGCCCCATCTGCTGACCACTGCCACATTCCCCTGCCACAGTGGACTCTTATCCTCCTGAAACTGGAAGCCGAATAAATCCCTTCTTCTATAACTTGCTTTGGTCAGTTCAACTTATCCCAGCAACAGAAAAATCAGGAGAAGGGGGAGAGGTGGCCCAGCTGTTAGGCGCATTTGCTGCTCTTGCAGAGAGCCTGAGTTCCGTTCCCAGCACCCATGCTAGGCAGCTCACAGCAGCTTGAACTCAAGTTCCAGGGGGTCCAACACTCTCTCCTAGCCTTCGTGGGCACTTGTACATGACAATGCATAGACACAGACACATAAATAAAAATAATTTATAAATCTGCAAAAGAGTAAGTTACACACTGACCCTTTGTTTTGTGTATCGTGAAGCTTAATTGGTATTCTCATCAGGACCCTGACGGGCAGTGCATGTTGTTCACGAAAGGAGTTCAGTGAGGTTGTGGAACTAGGAAAGACGATGCGGCTCGGAAGTGGGAGAGTCGCATTCCGTATGCTTGTGTTATCCCCCATTTTGGAGAATTTTAAGTATGCACGGGAGCAGCCAGAATGGCCTGATGTGCACACCATCTGCCTCACTCAGCAGCAACCAGCAAAACCTCTGCCAATTTTACACCCCTCTCTCCCGGCCCTGTGTTACCATGAAGTGTGTTCCCCACAACTGTATCATTTCAGCAACAAATATGCTTGTGTGAATCCCTATAAAGACTATACAACCTATCCCTCTGCATGCTAAGAAAAAAGTTCACAAAAATATGTCTGCAGAAAAGATAAGGTCTGTTTTCTTTTAAAGATACTCACAATGTCATTATGCTTAAAACAGTGAACAATACTCTGTTAATATTATTGAATGTTCAGGTAGTACTTAATTTTCTAATTATCTCATCCATATCTTACTTTTAACAGTTTATTAAATTAAAGTCCATGGAAGCTCCACACATTGCAAACTGGTTGTTACGATGTAATTCTTGCTGAATCTGTAAGTTTTCTTCATTTCTTTTTTCTCTTCACAGTTAACCATTTGTAGAGAAGTTCTTTGACCTATAATGTCTGTAGTCTAGCATTAGCTGATTGCATCTCAGTGGTAGAGTTGGAAGGGTCCCTTGGCCTCCACATCTTCTGTGAGCGGCAGTTGGAGGGCGGGGCAGGGACCATGTGAACTCTTGCTAAGGTTTCATTGGTGGTTAGTGGTGGGTTCTGCCACTGTGAGTTTCCCTTTCTCTTGTCATGGAATCGTCCTTGAAGCTCAATGTCTGGATCCTTTAATTCCCTGGGGTCCACACAATGACTTTTTTTAGATCACAATGCTTCCCTTTCCAAGGATTTGCTAGAAGAGCAGACATTTTAATAATCATCTTACTCAAGAAGGTGTCGCTGCCAGAGATGAGGAGTGCAGAGGTTGCCCTGGTCTGTTGGAACCACACAGTAGCGAGTCACAATACACAGTTTGGATGGGGATGAACTTGTGGACCATTTTAACCAATCACCATCACCTCCTTGTGGTCAGAAAACAGACTGATATGAACATCTACACATGCAAGGTTTTTGAGTCTTCAAGCGAGATGGGTGTTGGGGGGCAGTGAGAGTGCCCATGGCGATGCTTTTGTTTTAGCTGAAGTATAAGAGGTAAAACCAAAGGCGTGTATGGAACAGGAAGGTTTGAGTCAATGAGTGTGTTGGTTTGGTTTCTGTTAGCTTGGCACAAGGGACCTCAGTTGAGAAAATACTTCCATCTAATTGACCGACAGACAATGTCTGGGGCATTCTTATATTGATGACTGGTGTGGAAACACTAAACCCACTGTGGATGGTGTTACCATTGGAAAAGGGATCTTGAGAACTGTAAGAAAACAAACTGAGTAGACCGTGGGAGTAAATTAGTAACTAGTCTTTCCCCATGGCTGTTGCTTCAGTTCCTGCCTCCAGGTTCCTGCCCTGAGTTCTCTTTATGATAGACTGTAAACTGCAAGAAGAAGTAAACACTTTCTCTCCAACTTGCTTGTGGTCACAACGTTTATTACAGCAACAGAAACTTAACTAGAACAGTGAGCATCTCCATGGAGTCTTGACAATGCATTGAACAGCAGCATGAATGCAAACATCCTAGAATTGTGGGCTTAGGGAGGAAATGGGCAGCTCACAACTGGGACCAGTGGAACAGGAGTCCACCAAGGAAATGTAAGTGGGCATAACTGGAGCCCACTCTTGCTTTAGTTCAGGGTTAAAGCAGTGGCTTCAGAAGGGGAGTAGGGCTGGGTGTTGGCGGGAGAGGAGTAGACTTTGGTGCAGGACCTGAGGCTCTTCACACAGCATGGGAGGACTCATGGCTGGGAGAGCAGCCTGGCCAGGAGCTGGGGAACTCGGGAGGTTGACATCAGAGGGAATGGCGAAACAAGACTGTAATCTGCACGTCTGTGAAAGAGGGAAAATGATCTCCTCCTGTGTGCGTAAGGTTAATTTGATTTGATTCTTGATTTGTATTGACTGTCAATCTTTACTATTTACTATTGCGGTAATTATGTTCTATAAAGCCACCTAGAATGCTGAAGTAGCGAACACAGAGCCATTTGCTCTATGGGAAATACAAGGGTAGGTTCTTGTGACCCTCTGGTCATGATTTTGTCAACTGATGGATCCACAGCCTTAATTTTTTACATTTATTGATTGATTGATAGATACATCAATTCTGTGTGTGTGTGCATGCACACACATGCACACGTGCACGCGCGTGCGCGCGTGCACACACACACACACACACACACACACGCCATGGTGCATGTCTGGAAGTCAGAGAACACCTTGTAGTAGTCAGTTCTCTCCTTCCACGATGTGTTCCAAGCATCAGGTCATCAGACTTGGCATCAAGTGTCTTTAGCTGTTGAGCCATCTCACTGGGCCTTTGTGTGTTTCTCTTTGAAGACATGTCCTTTAGTAAGATTGATGGCTAAATATTGTAATAGTTTGAATGTAACTGGCCTCAATAAGTCCATAGACAGTGGCACTATTAGAAGGTGTGGCTATGTTGGAATAGATGTAGCTTTGTCACAAGAAGTATGTCACTGTGGGTGCAGGCTTTAGGTCTCCTATGTTCAAGCTATGTTCAGTGTAGAGAGAGTTCACTTCCTGTTGCCTGCAAATCCAAATATACACCTTCTCCAGCACCATGTCTGCCTGCATGCTTCCAGGTCCTGTCATAATGATAATGGACTAAACCTCTGAAACTGTAAGCCAGCCCCAATTAAATGTTTCCCCTTATAAGAGTTTTGTCATCATGGTGTTTCTTCATAGGAGTAGAAACCCTAACTAAGACAGCTACCATTGGTTGCATGTTCAAGGGAAGTACAACCATTGGATGCAGCTGGGTGCTCACCTTCATAGAGTACATAACCGCCTGAAACCTGGGGCATCAGGGATGCTAAATTCTTGGTAGCTGTTTTTCTTTTTATATTTATTTTTCATTATTGATTATATTTGTTTTTAACTAGCACATAAAAATTATGTACTAGTGGGGTAACATGTTTCAATACACACATCTACACACATATAGTGTAATATAAAGTCATGTTAAATATATCTCTTTAAACATTTATTATTCCTTCATGGTGGAAACTTTCAAAATATTTATTCTTAGTTTTTTGAAATGTATACTACTAAGCTACCATTATCTATAGCCACGCTCCTGTGTACGGGCTCACCAGAATATCTTCCTCCTGTCCAACTAGGCACTTACCTATCAACATTTTCCTGGGGCCATTTTATATAGTAAAACCACTAACAAAAAAGCACAAAAATGCAAAAAAAAGGTAGGAATAAGTAGACATCAAAGGACATTTGTTTATAGGCATTTGCCTAAAGAAATACTGCAGCGTTGTGCTGAGCCAGTTCAGCGGCAAGTGTGAGCCCTGAGCAGGTCCTTGTGGCTCTGCCCATGGCTGTGGGTAGCTTCATCAGAACTGCCCGGATGATAAATAAGCTTGGGTGAGTCTACGGGCTTCTAAGGATGGCCACCACAAATGAGACTGAATGCCGACTCGTACTAGGCATTGAAAAGTAAACCTAGGGTTTGAGGGAAGGTTGAAAACTATGATAGACTTTCTAGGTTCATAATACCGGGTTAACTGTGCGAATCCCACAGATAATCTCTCCAGGATTGAGGGGAGAGGGTGGAAGAAAGATGGTGTGGTGTTCTCATGGAAATAAGTGGAGAAGGAAGGAGCTGTGGCATCCTGGATCTCTGCAGTCGGGGGAAAGAAGGCAAAAGCACTGGGTGCGGGAAGATGAAGGGAGCAGGCAGTAGGGCGAGGCCCCAGGAACGCAGCATGGCTGGGTGTGCAATGAGAGCATGCTGAGTCATTCTCTTTGGCGCAGAACTGTTCCACTTTTCCCTTGCTCAGAGCCCTGCAGTTGTATTTTCTACCTTTCCCCCTGTTGTGGCGCCCCTGTGGCCTGCCTTGGAGGGGTGCGGCGCGGTAGAGGGCTCTGGTTTGGTTCTTCTGGCCACATGAGAGACATCTTGGGCAGAAGCCCCACGCCACAGACTTCTTTGCAGATGGTTTAAGCCTGGATGCAACACAGCTTCTCACTCACAGGGAGAAAATTGAAGCTAGAGATTGGATCCTTTTAGAGGCCTTTGAACTTGTAAACCCAGACACATATGTGTCAGGAACGGAAACTGGCGAGGACAGTACCCCATAGTTTGAACTTAATCGCTTTTGGTACGCACTTGAAAAGATAAAATACTCCAAGACATTTAACTTTAGAAACTCGTTCCGTTGTATTGCACAGTAAGTAATTTTCACAAGGATTTGGCTGAGAGAGATATTCAGTATCGACGCGCAGGAATGGTTTCAATATGTGGTGGGCCAAGAAAAACAAAGTCACTGTGACCCACACTTTGCAGATCTAAGAGGGACAGAGGAGCAAGTAGCAATAATTAATTCCAGTTCTGGAGGAATACTGTAGCGGCAGCCACACGCCTCTGTTCTCACACTGCTCCGTGTCTCTGGGGGAGGGGACTTAGAGCCCCAAACCCAGGGTGTATGGCGTAGGACGTAATTGTACAGCGAAGCCTGAAAGTGGTCAATCAGGACAAAGCGCTGTTGGGTCTCAAATATAGGAACTGTAGAACAAGGCGCTCCGGTTGAAAGGCTGCTCGTCATCTTCAGTGAGAAAAGAGGGTGGTCATTTTGCCGGCTGCTGGGCCGTGGGCAAGTGATGGCGAGATGCTGATGCCCAGGGTGGACATGGCTCTGGTCCCTGGGGTGGTTTGAACGAGAATGACCCCTGTGGATGAAAATTTCTTTCCTGCCCTGTCCCGCAGCTATTCAGTTCCAAATTAACACACAGAGGTTTATATGAATTATAAACGGTTTGGCCTATTACTAACTAGCTCTTACAACTCAAATTAATCTGTAATTTTTATCTATGTTTAGCTATGTGGCTTGGTACCTCTTCTCAGTAAGGCAGTCTCATTTTCCTTCCTTTACTTCTGGCAGGTAACTGCATCTCTGCCTTTCCTCTTCCCAGAATTCTCCTAGTCTGGCTGCCCCACCTATTCTTCCTGCCTGGCTACTGGTCAACCAGTGTTTTCTTAAACCAATACGAGTGACAAATCTTGACAGTGTACAAGAGCATTCTCCCACAGCAGACCCCTATGGGGTCATATACTTGAATGCTTGATCTTTTGCTAAGGATTAAGAGGTGTGGCCTTAATGGAAGAAGTGTGTCACTGGGGGTGGGCTTTGAGGTTTCACAAAACCCAAGCCATTTCCAGTTCGCTTTCTCTGTCTTCTACTTGTAGACAAGGATGCAAGCTCTCAGCTGCTGCTCTAGCATCGTGGCCGCTTGCCTGTTGCCGTGTTCCCCACCATAATGGTCATGGACTTATCTCTGAAACTGTCAGTCCCTGTCTTAGTCACTGTTCTATTACTGTGAAGAGACATCATAACCAAGACAGCACCATGAAAAAGAAAACATTTGATTGGGGCTTGCTTACATTTCAGAGGGGTAGTGACAGCAGACAGGTGAACATGGTACTGGAGTAGTAGCTGAATGTAGACTTGGGTTCCCAAACCCAAGGCAGAGAGAAAGAGAGAGAGAGAGAGAGAGAGAGAGAGAGAGAGAGAGAGAGAGAGAGAGAGAAACCAAGAGAAGTTACACTTGCTTATTTGATTAAGGTGGTCTGTTTTGGCTTGATGCAATTTCTTCAGTTATGTTCACCTGCTGTGGGCTTAATCCTTGGCTCCTCCTGGCCCCCAACTTTTCCCTGGGGAGCCCTGCCATGGTGGATACAGGTTGCTTTGTACTCCCATGTCCTCTTCGGGCTTCTGTTGACTTCTTTTTGAGGATCAACCCATCTCGCCTCCTCTTTGGATGTTAGCTTCAGCTCCCAAAGGGTCTTGACTGGGGTGTCTTAGACCGTCAGGCTGGGTCTGAGCACAAGCAGAGGTTACCTCACATCAGCATCTTCCACTCTGTCTCCCACTATGGGAGAGCCTCTGAAGTTTAGCGAGCAGCCCTGGCAGAGAACCTGTGGAAGCATCCTTATGCTGTACGGCAGATGCCTCCTTATACCAATCCACAGGACTATCAGAGAGCATCTAGATGTCCTCAACCCAGGAGTAGCCTGTAAGAAGATAGGAGATGGATAACTCTAACCCGATGACTTGAGCCTTCCCACTACGAATGATACTCTTCAGTTATTAAACCATACATGGGTTTACATGTACACGAACATGGAACAGTGTAGAGGGAAAAATGAAGGCCCAGTCTAGTGTTTGGGTGTTCACTCAACCTCTTTGGAATTCTGTCATCTACCTTTCTTTTCCAGAGGCAACCCCTGGGAGGTGAGTAGATGGACCGAAAATCCTCTCCCCTCATCCACAAGGCAGGAATTGCTATGTTACTGTCTGTCCTTTGTTCCTTGTGGCTTACTGTGAAGCTTTCTACTTAGCCCCTGGAGCTTTGCTCTGGATATGAGCAAGATATCTTATGAGTAGGAGTGATACAGTTCTCTCTCTCTCTCTCTCTCTCTCTCTCTCTCTCTCTCAACAAAACTTACTTCTAAAACAGTAGCTTCTCGGTGACTTGTGACATCCACTATGAAGCGTGAGCTGTAGAAAAAGAATTTCTGAGTTCAAAGTTTTTCCTTCTTCTTTCTTTTTATTCTGAAATAAAAAGGACAAATATTCTGTGAGTGGATGAGCATCAAGATTGATAGACAATAAAAAGTTTTTAGTGTAATATTTCAGATACATGGTAGAAAGAGTTGGGGACTTCTGAATTAGAAGAAGGGGATCAAAGGAGGCAGCTTCCGGTACAACTCACTTAGCAGCAAACATCCTAGCTTGCCACAACAATCTTTTCGGATTGTTGGTTGTATGTCTCACCCTTATTGAGCAGGTTAGAAGATACTAGTCACAAACTGCAGGAGAAAAGACAGGCATGTCCCTCTTATCATGGCTGCACAGAGAAGCATCAGATACTCCTGTGGCCTTGTGAGCACTTCCTGATCAAGGGCTTCCATGGGGCTGCTCCAGTAACTCTGGAAGGATTGGTAAACTTCCTTTGTAAAGTTCTAGGTCTGGGCCATAAGCGTTTCTGGCTTTTGGTGCTATGGGATGTGTGTGCTACTACTCAGCTCAGCCGTGGGAGTAGCCAGGCAGCATGCAGGCAGTTGGTGAGGCATGGCTTTCCCTCTGTGTATAACTCCATCACCATCACCAGGCAGAGATAACCTTGGCTCCAAAGTCACGGCAAAGATACCAGTAAGGCATATAATGATATCTTGGTCTACAATGATGGTAATGGGACTACGAACTCTCCCCAGTAGGAGAAGTAGGGGAAGAACTGTAAGATACTCTCCTAGGAAGCTACTCACCTTTCCCTCCCGCCCCTTAGATCTACGTGATCTTGGGAGACACACAAGCATATGGAACGTGTGAAGATAAATCAAGGTGGGACTCCATTTTGCTGCTTTCATGAGGTCATCCTCATGGAAGGACTTGGCAGTGATGTAAATGTTGAGAAGGCCAACATTCCCATAAGTAAATTCTCACCCATGTTCCTCTGATTAAGCCCAACAAACTCAATGTTTCACCAAATTGGACTTTGGCAGAATTGTTTCTTTGGGCTGCTACTGATGCCCTGGTTAGGGTGAATAGATATTTATTTGTCTGCCCAGGAAAAGTAATACAACCATAAAACATAAATGCTTAGGTGGCCTGCATTCCTTGGCAACTTCACAAAGCCAGGCTAGACTTGACCTGAGGGCTGAAGGATCTAGGATCAACTTTCTTAAACTGTGGGTTTGCTTAGCAAAATGTGGGGATAATAAACATTGGGTGATAGTAAAAGGTTTCTGAATGTGCAATGACCAAAGAATTCGAAGTCAGCAGTGCAGTGAATGTAAGGTGTTTCAGGCCGTGCTTGCCTGTGTTGCATTGTGTGACTTCACTCCTGGCTTCGTTCAAACACACACCAGTTTCACTTTGTATTGCGCAGGTCCTCACCTCATGAGAAGCTGACAGGCATTGCCTGGAACTTCTCTGTTCAGAGTGAAGATGATTGTGCTTTACAAGTTGCAGTGTGTTTGACTGCTCTCAGAGAAACACAATTTGAGTACAGAAATAAAGAATTTCCGATGTTTTCCTTAGTATGTGAGTATCAAATTAATATATCTTTGGATTTTGTTGTGTTAGAATGTTTGCCTTTGAGAATCACTCTTTTGAATTTGCCACTTGAGCTTCATAAAAAAAATTATTAAATTAATTTTTGACTTGATGTTATGATAGAACTTCTAAAAATTTCTGAACTGGCCCTAGATGTACCTTTGCTATTTGGAGCTATGTATTTATGTGAAAAAGTATTCTCTACACTGATGCTTAAAACATCAAAATATTGATCTTCTCTGAAAAATATTGAAGATGCTTTAAATTCAGTGGTATCAAATGTTCAGCCAAGGCTTAGTTCTGGATATAAACATAAGCAAGCACACCCACCTCACTGACATGCAGATCTGAGTGTACCTTTCACAAATGGTAAAACTGCAAGCTTGTCAGTGAATTGTTTCAAAATAAATTTCTTTATGGTTTATTCTCAATATATGTTTGGTTTGTACTCCTATATTGTATAGTTACTTACACAAACATTTCTCAGGTGAAAGGGACTGTAAGCACGGAAGGTTTAAGAAGCCCTGATCTAGTCTGAAGTGTCAGTCCAGGTCATGAAGAGAGCCCATTTCCTTGTCTTTCTGCTTGTAGAGGTGCCCACGACCCTTGCCTTATGTCTTTCTACCTCCTTCTTCAAAGTCAGCAACATCGCATCTCTGAGAACTGAGTTAACAAGGAGCTATACATAAAAGGATTGAGATGGGTGACTTATGATCCTAAGTCCTCAGGTGGACATCAGCGTGGTGTGTGTGTGTGTGTGTGTGTGTGTGTGTGTGTGTGTGTGTGTGTGTGTGTGTTGGAAGCCATGTTGAGTATGGTGAGAGAGTCAGGTCCTCAGGTGGACATCAGCATGGTGTAGTGTGTGTGTGTGTGTGTGTGTGTGTGTGTGTGTGTGTGTGTAGCCGTGTTGAGCACAGTGAGAAAGTCAAGCTGCAGAAGGTGTATGTATTCCATTGGCAGGGGTTGGGAGTTTGGGTTTTGCTTTGAGGGTGGTAACAAGTCACTGGAGGCTAAGGCAGATGAGTGACATGAATAAACAAGGTTTTAAAGAATTATTTTGTTTAAATGGAAAGAGTGGGATGGAAGTAGTGAAACCTAGAAAACACGGGGCCGTGGCTGCACAGATGTCCTTGCCACCCCAAGGATATCTTTATCTATTTCTATTTCATTGCTTTATGTCTATTTTTTATTCTGATTGGCTTTTTACCTGGTACCGCTGTGATTAAATTAATGAGCAAACTTGCTTTCTGTTTCCTTCTTTGTCTATGTACAGGAGCAACAGCTTTGTGCACAAAACTCTTCATATGCTTAGGCTTCCTTCTTCTCTCTCCCTTTTCTTCTCTTTCCTTTCCTTTCCCTGCCTCTCCTTCCCTTCTCTTCCCCTTCTACCCCCTCCTCTATTCCTCCCCTCTCGTCACCTTCCCTTCCCCTTTTCCTTTCCCTCCCCTTCTTTTCCTTCCGCTTCCCCCCCCTCCCCCCTCCTATCTTCCCCTTCCCTCCCCTCCCTTCACCTTTACTTTCTGTTTCTCTCCTCCCTCCCTTTCTCTCCCCTTCCCCCTTCCTCTTCTTTTCTCTTTCCTTCTCCCCCCTTTCTGTCTCTTTCCTCCTCTCCCCTCCCTTCCCCTTTCTCCCCTCTTTATCTCTTCCCTCCATCTCCTTTCTTCTTTTCTGTTCATCTGTCCCTCCTTTCTTGTTTTTTCCTTTTTGATAAACCATTAGACAGGAAATGACTAATTCAAAAGTATAAGGATTTTGAAAACTTTTGACACATACATTGCTTCTATTACATTCTCACTGACATGCATGAAGCTACCTTCAAAGCTTAACCCTGGGTTGGGATGGAGTTCAGTAGTAGAACATTCTTGAGACCCACAAACGAAGTTTAAAATAATGAATTTGGGGGCTGGAACAGTCAGTGGTTAAGAGCACAGACTATTCTTTGAGAGGATCTGAGTTTGTTTCCCAGTACCTACAGTGGGTGGCTCACAAGCTCCCGCAACTCTAGCTCTAAAGGACCTAACACCTCTGGCCCCCAAAGGCACCTGCATTCACACACACACACACACAAACACACACACACATGCATGCACACACACACACACACACACAAATGCAAGAATGCACACTGGCACATATGCATGCACTAAAAACAAATCTTTAAAATCATAAATTTGGGTGATTTGACTCATTTTGAGGAATATCTGAGACAGATCTAAAACCTGACATTCTAAGCGCTTAATAAATTCTAAATTTAACTTAGGTTCCACAGTATGTAGATTGAATTTAGTGCTCAGAATTCATGCTGTGTTGAAAAGATTTAAATATTTCATTTTTATTGTTTTCTTTCACAACAAAATCCAGCCTTTTGAGTACTCCGACTGCACTTGGCAAACACAGGACTCTTTGCTGCAGCATATCCCTGGTTTTGTGTGGCTGTCCCACTCCGGTGGGAAAGTGCTGCAACGTACCCCTGGTTTTGTGTGGCTGTCCCACTCCGGTGGGAAAGTGCTGCAGCGTACCCCTGGTTTTGTGTGGCTGTCCCACTCCGGTGGGACAGTGTTGGTGGCAGTTTTATTTCGATTACTTATCCATTCCTTTCCTGTTTTTTTTTTTTTTAAAAATAAAGCTGCCAAACAACTATCCCTCAAGGAACAAAATGCAGAATTTGTCTTTTTCTCCTGCTGTGAGTTGAAACACACAGATGTTATGGAAGAAAAAGATTAGTACTCCAATTTTATGGCAAACCTCTGCCTGAAGGAGCAAACACGCCCTCTCCATGTGACTTTAGGGGCAGACACGCCCTCTTCATGTAAGTACAGGGGCAGACATGTCCTCTTCATGTGACTATAGGAGCAGACACGCCTCTCCATGTGACTATAGGGGCAGACACGGCCTGTCATGTGACTACAGGGGCAGACACGCCCTCTCCATGTGACTACAGGGGCAGACACGCCCTCTTCACATGAATGCCGGGGTGCTCTCAAAAGTCAGTGATGAACTTCTTTAAAAAGCTTTTACCTTCCCCTCTGACTTCAATTATGAAATTGGAAATGTAATCTTGTAAGGGGGTGGGGGAAAACCATGATAGTCTTCAACTGAAAACATTTGACAAAGGAATAATTTAAGACTGACCTGACAGTGGCCAGGGACTGTTCGCAGAATTATTAATGACTCATAACATTGAAAGTCCTGCTTTTATGGTAAAGAAATGCCAATTGAAATGAGCAGTCGTTTCCACCTATCAAACTGGCAAAAGTAAAGATGTTCTTCAGGGTTGGTAAGGGTACAGGGAGGTACATTTGCAGACTTGGCTGTTTGGAATATAAATCGGCATAAGCATTATAGAAATCAATTTGGCAATATGTATTAAGAACTGAAAAAGAGCTCACATCCTTTATGACTCAGTAATTTCTCTTTTATAAGTCTATTATAAAGTAAATTATTCAGAAATTGAATGCCCAAGGATGTTCAGTGCATTGTTATTTATAACATCAGAATATGAAACAGAACCTAAATATCAAGCAAGAAGAAAACAGTTGAATACATTACGGGGTAGAGCGTCTGGAGACCATGGCTCAAGCCCAGCAGGACTGCACCACCCCAGGCCCAAGAAGAACTTGCCTTTAAACAGACTCAGGCCATTCCTCAGTGTGGGAACCAGCAGTCTCATCTTGGGGATTTGTGCTTTCTAACACACAAGAAGTATCAAATGGGACACACCGATCCTCGGAGGATGGAGTCTGGTCATCTGGAGTTATAGAAAGGTCATAGGTCACTCTGATTTACCACCAAATTTCAAAGTAATGTGTGTATGGTATGATGTGGTGACTACATGAGCCTGTCTGTCTACTGCTTCCCATAGCATCTTGGAACTTTTTCCTTCCGTGATCACACAAGCCTCTGCCCCCAGCATTTAATAGGGAGATCCCTGGAGAACATTTTAGACTATCTCTAAGAGACAGGATGAGCTCCTTCCTGGGAGAACACCACCTGACACTTTATCTCTGTGGATCTTTGTGAAGGAATGAGGAAGGTTGTGGGCCTTGCAGTCCGATCCTTTGGTATCCAGTTCTACAACACCAACACCAGTTTTGTTTCCCATATTCACGTTTCCTTGGCATAGGAATTGTGTTTTAGACACTATAGTGACGACCAATAAGGATCCTGCATGGAAATAGATGCAGGCTCTCACACAGTGCTCCGTGGTGCTTTAACAGCCACAGGGTGATGTAATGAGCTTGCCCAGCAGGTAGTGAGGCGTCATGGAGGCTAAGGATCAAATGACCCCCAGATGCAACCTCTGCACGTGTCAGGTGACAGACCGACTATACACAGTAGCTTAGAGAGTGTGTGAAAAGGCTCCAAGAGGATGCTGATGAAGAGGTACTTGACCTTCATCTCACAGGTGCAGGGCGAGTATTGCATTGGCGCAAGGTGAGTACCAAGGGAAGTAGTGGTATGGAGGCCATCTTTGTGTGTTTAGTCCCAGCTCAGTTTATCTGTTAGGTGACTGGCACCCTCTGTGAACCTCTGTGAGTAGACCCAGAACTGTTTAATGAGGAAGCGTTTTTATAGTGCTTCATTCCCATCTAGACATTCATTTCAAACAGACCATCATTAGCTTTATGGTTTTAATTGTATCAAAATTCCTCATCGTAACCTATTGCTTTATTGTATGAGTCCATTAACCTGCGTGCCATGGAGCACAGTTTTAGACCCGTGTTTATATCTGGACTAATTACATAGACGCCGTCAGGATAGGATGAGAGGCTTTTCAGATCGCCACAGGAGAAATTATCTGAACCCCTTTCCAAACTCTGGGGTTTGGAGCAACATCCAAATCGAACCCGAAAGATGCTGAACAACATTCTGAACGCCTTGCTTTGAAATATCTATCACTCTATCAACAAGGAGCGGCGGTGTGGTAATTCTCCCATTATGCGTGGCTTCCATATGCTTCTCATTTGGAAGTTCTCGGGGAAGCACTGGTCTGCAGGCTCCCCAATCAAAACCAGGTGGCTAATGGTCACAAGCGGGGGGACCATGAGGAGATTTGTGCCTTGTTTATTAGGATGGAGACGGAGCATCCAGGCCACTAGCCGAGGGCTTGGAAGATGAGATAAACCAGGAACCACCAGGTCCAGCTCTCTGAGGGGACCTTTGTTAATGACTGCGAAGGTGGCTCAGCTGTTAACGCCTGGTTGACCCAAAGCACTTCTTCCTGGAGTCGGGGAGTGGCTGGTGCTTGCCAGCATGTTTGGTGCACGCAGGGTGTTTCTCACTTGCCCTGCAGGAAGGAGTACCGAGGTTAGGATCGGGGCCCTTTGTTACCTCACAGATGCTCAACAGCGGGGTGTTTATAATGCCCATCAAGCAGGCTTCCGTTGCACCTGTTGGCGACCAGCTGCAGCGAGCAGGTGTATCTAGGGACTGAGAGGACTGGTGGCTGTGGAGAATTCTGAGGCCTGCCAGATGTATGCCACTAAACAACGGGCCAACAGCTGGGGAGACAGGAAAAATGTGGATTTAATTAAAATGATGTGCAAATTTGATTATTAATTTTAAGCTCACCGTGTGAATGCTCTCACCATGCATGCACACATACACACGCATGCACACACACACACACGTATATATAAAACGTGTGTTTTAGAACAACTAAATGGAATGTGTGAATGGAATGAGGTTCACCCCCACTTCCATGCACATTATCTTGTTCATCGGGTCACACAGTGTCCATTGTATTTCCAGCCCAATGGCATTCTTTCCCAGGCAGGAAGCTAAATCTTTAGTGTATTTGAGAGAATCTTGCAACCCCAAGAACATAGCTGCTGGTTTAAACAGCTAAGGGGGATGGGGTATCCTCTGCAACCTGCTTTTCTATGTGGACTAGTTACATAATGTATTCAGGGTGGCACGGGCAACTTTGATGATTGCTTGTACTCTGTACTTTGGAGGCATGTGGATCCTATTTTTGCTGAATTCCGTCAATAGAATAGAATATATATGGAGCTTGAGGGACGCTTGCAGTGATGGGCCTTGGAATACTGTGTATCATAATCATTGAGCAAGACTGCTGGTGTGAGTCGTTGCTTGCCACTCAAAAGAGCGAGAGCTGAGTATTCCTTGTACCTAGGAAGTAATACCCTCATTGAACAGTACCCAGTGGCAATTCACCTTAAAACTTGCCAAGGAGCTAACTACACTATTGGCCGTCAGAGCTGAGTATAGAATCTGCAACCTGAGATTTGTGTGTACTGTCACCTTGCAGAGCCAAATTCTCAGTATTCTTTTAAGACATGAGTTCTTACCCCAGGGCCTCTTCCTGAGCATTGTACATGTAGGCCATTGAAAAGGGTGCTTGTAATGCTAAGGAACAAACTAGGGTATTGGGCCTCAGTGAGCAGTTTTTCCATGGGGTGGTCCTCCCTGCTCTGGTCTTGAATGCTAAGCTTCTGCCCTGTCAGTTATCCTCATGGATTCATGAGGTCACCTAAGTGTGACATCATTCTACCTAAGTGTAGTCACCTAAAAAAAAAAAAAAAGCTACCAACAACAAAACACTGCTTCTAGGTTGGGGCAGCTCTCAGACCTGATCAGAGAGGGATTTTTTTTTTCAGAGTCAGTGGTAAACATGGAACCTCTGGTCAAACAACTGGTCGAAGGGCAAAAGATAGGTGTCTGCGGAGTGTAGCCATAAATGAGAACCTGTTTCATTCCCCTTACTGCAAGGCCCAGGGACCTTCTTGGGAGAGGGAGCTTACAGATGGAAGAGACAGAAATCGGGGGGACCCTGGTGGAATATCTGGTCATGGCTGGAGACCTACACGAGCAAGTCCGCATTTCACTCCTCCTCCTGCTGAGGAGCTATTGACCCCCGAGGGCTGCTGCGAGAGTCAGGGTTTCTTTAGGGTGTAGCTCCTGGTAGGATGACCGTGGACAGTGGGGTGACCTCACACCCGTAAGTACATGGGCAGCCTAAATTGGACTTAGGAGAAGAGGACTCAAAATCGAGATGGGGTGGTAGGTGAGAAGTGGGTCTGAGAGGAGTTGGGGGTGGGGATGCAGGGTGAATATGATCAAAAGAAATTGTACACTTGCATGAAATTGCCAAAGAATTAATAAAAGTTGTATACAAAAGAGAAGTGAGGAAAGAATATCAACAACAGCAATAGCAACAACCATAAAACAACAACGCCCAAACTGAAACACCACTGCTTACTCTTTCTGTGGGCCAAGATCCCAGGCAATTACTATCCAGAGATCACAGGAAGCATGGCACATGGGGCCACTTTGGAATGTGTTGTCATACTCACTGTTATTTCTTTGGTCTCTGGTCCCTTTAAGGGACAAGCCATGCCCACTCCCAGCCACCTCTGACCTCTCGGTCGCCATCTTTAATCTCATTCTTCTCTCTCTCTTGGCGTGTGCACACGTGTCTCCTCTCTGTTTCTCTGTCTCTCTCTCTCCTTTAAGTAATAAATGTTCAACTTTATGTCTATTTACTATGTCTTGTAAGCCTTTTATCTGCTGCCTGCTCACCCGCCCACTTGGGTGGCTCCCCTGCCGCTGCATGGCAGGACCAGCTCTGCCACTCGCTGCTGGGAATCTGCACCGCTCTGGCAGCCGTCTCTGCCTGGCTTGCGGCTGCTCTGCGAGTCCGCTGCCCGGGGATCTTGGTCAGGCCGCTGGGGGGGAGGGCACGCCAGGAATTTTAAAGAATATATTACTCACTGAGTACAATAGGTACTCAAGAGCTTTGGTGGGGCCACACCCCAGGAAGAGCGTTTTCCTTCTCAGCTTTCTCTCTCTAGGGAACATTGCCCCCCAGATGTGCCTTACATCTGTGTCACTGGGCCTCTGCTCCAGCTGTGCTCCCAACTTAGGTACTTCATCAGACTGAGAGGCTCAGCTCGGATACCCTGGTGTTCTTCAGACCCTTCTGGATCACTTCGTCATTGTGAATGGCAGGGAAGTATTTGGCTGTATCTTCCCTAGAGCAAGTATTCGGTTCTAAATTGTAGCCCAATTACTTCTATAAATATCGACCTACTTTCAAGAAAGAAGCCATGTCTTATGTGTTGTCCTTTTCAATTTTTTTCCCTGTAACTACTCATTTTCACATGGGGAATAATAATAAGTGTTGATTGAATGAAGTTCCCCCCAAGTAACCCGCTCGACTTTTACATGTCTTCTTTCCTAGGCATGCTGGCCACGCCCAGCCTAGCCAGCCTAGCCCTACGGAAGTTTCACGTGTGTTTTCATGTTATGTTCCCGGCACCTACATAGTAGCACCCAACCATCTATACTTCCACTACCAGAGGATCAGGAGTCTTGCCTCAGGTTTTGCCTTCTCTCCCCATCTCCTCAGTGACTACGGAAGCCACCCCAGTGGAAGCCGCCCGAGCACTTGCTGCCTTAGCTTGACAAGATCCAGAGCCAAGCTTTGAGCCATTCCATCTGACACTCCCACTTCTGATTGAGGTTGGGATCTTGCCTGGGATCTCCTCCGTGCCATTCTGATGTGAAAGGCAGAACTTCCTGCTGAAGGGGACTCATCTTTCTGGAATTGCACCAAGCCTGGAGGCAGACTGGCTTTCCAGCCCTCAACAGGGGTTTCCGGCGGGGCCTGCCATCCCTGCGGGAGTTCAGGTGCATTTTGCTCAATGTGAAATCACATTTTATTCTCTCTAATTACCAACTGGATGACAGAAGTTCTTTGGTTTCCGTTTGTTCAGCTCAGTGTAAGATAATAAAACCGCTCCATCACATACCGATTTAAATAACTACTGTTGGGTTTTTGGTGTGTGTGTGTGTGCGCGCGTGCGCACGCACGTTGTTAAACATGACATCAATAAAGCATAACCCAAATGCTTTTCCTGATGCAATGTTCCATTTCTGTCCTCTTTCCCTAAGGCTAATTACGTCTTCGAGAAAGAAGAGGGTGGGGGAAGTTAAGGAAAGAAAGGAAAACTCAGGTAAAAAGCAAGAAATATCCCTGACGCTGCAAAGGGGCTGGCTTTTTTTTTTTTTTTTTTTTTTTTTTGGTGCTTAATATGATAGCAAAATAAGGCAGACATGCAGGCCTGAAGAAGAATCCATGGTAGCAGAATGACCCTTTATGGATGCTTACTTACTGTCCTTTGCAGGGAGGGTGGCTATCTGTCTGGCAGTTGCTCTCTCTCCCTGCAGCTCCTTCCTGAATCTTCCATGAATAAAAGAAACTCTAAATCGTTGATCCTACAAAGTGCTATCGGGCAGTGATTTGGGATTTGCAGTTCATTGTGTTTTAATGGGGTCCTTCTAGACAGAGGATCCTGCCACAGGAGTCTGGGGAACAGTAATAGTAACAGCCGGGTGTGCTTGGCCCCAAGAGGTGATTACCCAGGGAGAGCGAAAGCAGGCGGATCATTGCAAAATTCTTGGGGTAGGTGGGCAGCAAACGAGTTCCAGGTGGCTCTGAAGCAAACCATTGTCTGTAATAAGAAAAAGACAATGAAAACCAAAGAAGCTTGTAGCCCACGTGGTTAAAAGGGGTCAGTGTCAGTGAATAGAGGGAATTTCCTCCAGACGTCTTGATTGCATACCCAGCAACGCCGGTTGCAGCTCCCAGGGCTGACCCACAGTAACAGAAGCAGAGATTGGGAGTAAGGGGACAGCCCAACCTTGAGTAAGCATCATTGCCACTTTTCATAGTTAGCTCCTTATTCAAAAACATTTTCTAAGATCTCTCTACTTCCTGCTCCTAGGGTGTGTGTGTGTTCATCAGAATGGTATAAAGTAGACTAGGAATATCTTAGTTATGGTTTCCATTGCTGCAAGAAAACATCATGACCAAAAAGCAGGTTGGGGAGGAAAGGGTTTATTTGACTTATGCTTTCATATTGTTGTTCATCTTTGGAGGAAGTCACGACAGGAACTCAAAGAGATGGGGAACCTGGAGACAGGAGCTGATGCAGAGGCCATGGAGGGTGCTGTTTACTGACTTGCTCCCTATGGCTTGCTTAGCCTACTTTCTTATAGAGCCCAGGACCACCAACCCAGGAATGGCACCACCCACAATGGGCTGGGCCCTCCTCCATCAATCCCTAACTAAGAAAATGCCGTACAGTTGGATCTTATGGAGGTACTTTCTGAAATGAGGTTCCCTTAACCGACAGAAGGACGATAGTTCAGTGGGTAAAGTACTTTACAAGCATGAAGACCTGAGTTCGATTCCTAGAATTCATGTTTTAAAAAGAGCCAGAGGCAATGGTTCCCTGCTTGTAATTTTAGCAGAGACAGAGAAAGGTGGGTCCCTGGAGTTTGCTGACCAAGCAGACTAGTTAACTTGTTGATATTTGGGGCAGTCAGAGATTCTGTCTCAAAAATCAAGGTGGGTAGCAAGGCACCCAAAGCTGACTTCTGGCCTCTACATTCAATTGCATGGATGCACACAGGCACCCCTACCTGTGCACACACATATACATGTGAAGCAGTTCACACATACTATAAATGTGCGTGGTGGAGAGCACTTGCCTAGCATGTCCAAAGCCATGGATCCTGTCCCCGGCATTGCCAAAATACAGCAAAAGATCAGCCTCCATGTGATGTGAACTCTGTCTTCACAGAGAGGGTCAGAGGACTGGACAGACAGCAGTTTTCTGACCTGTGTGGGCCTTTCTCATTTCTCCCAATCACCTTTCAACACCCTTCAAACCTTCCAAACACCGAGAACGGCTTCTACATCCTCCATGTATTCTGTTGCTTCTCCACCTCTGATGTACAGGCTACAGAAACCTGAAGGCTCTGGGAAGGATGTCTCAGTATGCCTGGGGGTGGGGGCGGAGTCACAGTGCAGCTGCTAAAAGTCTTGGAGGCTACATAAGTGCTGTCGACCCCTTAGCACTGTTATTATTCCCCCCGCCCTAGGGAGGGCTAAGCTCTGCAGTGGTCTGGTCTTAGCTTCTGTCTTTCGTACCTTCTCACCTGCCTTCTGCAGAGCTCACTCGCTTTCTGCTAGGGCAGGTGAGGATTTCCTCGTAAGGAAGGGTCTCTCTCTGCATACGAAGACTAATCTGGTTTCAAACTTGAGATGTTTCTGCCTCAATCTTTCCCAGGGCTGGCATCATAGGTACACCACATGTAGCTCAGAGGGCTAAATCCAGGATGTCATTAGGCAGCCTTCATTTGGAGCTCTATAAGAGAATCACTTGTTTGGCCTTCCCAGCTTCCTTGGCTTATGGTCCTTTGCTGTGTATCCAAATCCAGAGGCAGTGGGTCCAGGTCCCCCTTGCATTTTGAAACCTCGTGTCTCTCCCATCTTTGTACCTCTTTCATCTGCACTTCTCAGGGCCTTAGGATGTCACTGGGTTACCCAGGTCCTGCAAGAAAATCTCTGTTTCAAGGCCAGCTGCTTTGCAATCTTAATTCCATCTGTGAACCTGAATTAACTCTGACCTCGTAGTGTGGCATATCTACAGGTCCCGGGAGTTTGGGCACAGGTCTCAATCACGGTCTGTAGAGTTGTCATTGAGCCTACTGCCACCCCACAACACCCACCAACCAGCAACAATGCTGATGGTGCTGAGGTTGAGAAAGCTCGTCCCAGAGGAAACTTGCTAGTTCTAGAAGGCGAGTACTCCCTTCAGTGTGGATAAACGAGAAAGACAAGCCAACCTTAAAGGGACTCACTTGGAGCGCTAATTACCCCAGCACAGTTAATCAGTTGGACAATTTGCTGCTGCTGGGAGAGGCTGCAGGCCCACTGCGGGTCATGTGATGTGGGTCTGCGTGCTGAGGGGGTGAAAGCCTTCTACCAAATAAATGAAGCCGCAGCTTCTGGTAACAGATATATGAAACAGAATATTCATCTTCTCTTCAGTGGGAATCACGCTTGACAAAGGCGAGGCTTTCTTCACGTTGTTTGTTTATAGAAAATGCAACTCCACCGAGGCCTGATGCTAAACTTGCTTCTCTGATGTTAGCGGTTCCAGGACGCACAGGGCCCACTGGAGTGTGTTCTTATGATCTTGCCATTTATTTACCTTGATATGAAACTCCAATTACTGTCAGTGCTGCTTCTTGTTAAATACGGCCAGAGTGCCAGCTTCCGAGAGTGCGGATCTGTGTCTGGTTCTCTGGGGCTGGGCTCTGATGGAACTTGAGGAATATGAGTTGTGGGAATGTGGGTGCAAATTAATTAAATACTGAAGGAAACAGTAGTGGGGGCGTTGAGCTCTGGGGCAAGGCTCTGATTTAGGCAGGGGTGATGCAGCAGGAGGCTGTGAAGTTGTTTTTTTTTTTTCCTTTCTGTGGTTTTTCCTGGTCTCAAACGGCACTGGAACATTTGCATGAATGTGCTTGTGTGTGCACACGCGTCTAGCGCTTGCTCTCTTAATGGCACTGGGCTTTGGGGTTGCTTTCTTGTATCTTTCAACGCTTAAATCAACTCTCGGGTTATCGGAAGTTGGGAATCAGAACAGAACACATGACTTCCAATGACAATGCAGGAACGGGTCTCCAAACGATACGTTGGAATTCTCCAGATATATTCCGACTGTCAGATTTAGTTATTGGTTTTCTTTGGGCCATCCAACTCTATTTTATTCATGGGCTATTCTAAAAATACAATCAAAGGACACCTACTGGCTACAAGTGCCTTTGGTCGTGTCTAATAGTGCTGCGAAGAATGGTTTGAATTTAGTGCAGATGCAGGGAGGTATGTGCTGTCGTCGCGAGTGTATCACACTTCCAACTTCTAACATCCCCTGCCTGGAGTCCAGCCAGCGCAGGAGTGAGGTGGGGATGAAGGACCAGACTGGGTCAGGTGAAAGGAAGGGTGGCGCTGACCTGCAGCGGATTGTGAACTGAACAGAATGTGATGCCATTACTTTTGGCTGAAGAAGACGAAGAAAACGTTTTGCTTGCTTCCTGGTTTTTGTGTTCCTGCGTTTCATCACAGACCGTGCGGAGACCTGCTCTGGGGAAGCGTTGAAGGTCTGTGGTTCTGGGTGAGAAAAAGAAGTGACTACATCTTTGTTGCTGTCGTAGTGGGGAATTTTCTGGAGAAATGTTTCCACTCGAGCAGAGAAACCTCCGTTTGCGGGCCTGGGGGAATGATCCCTTCCAAGGTATGACGCATGCGCCTGCAGCAGCTAAACTGCGTCTCATAACCCAGTGCTCAGACATGACTGGATTTGGATAGCCCGTTAAGTGCTTCCGGTGCGTTCCGTGATGGGCTCTGTAGGCTGTGCTGTCACTCTTTGCTGGGGAGGAGACAAGAGCAATGCGTCTTTCGGGACAGAGGCAATATCTTCTCTGCTTTATCCGAAGAAACAATCTCCTGAGTGGCAGTAATTAGCACAGACGTCTGTAATACATAAAAATTCCAAAGACAGCGCAGGACTCCATTGAGAAATGACAGAAAAGACTTTATAGCGGAAAGTAAATGAAACAATATAAAACCCCCGAACAAAGAAGATGCAAGTCACCCTAATCCCTGAAGAATCAACTCTTGCCCAATGTGATGGTTTCAAGCAGTAGCATCCCATGGAAGCTTTGGTGACCCACAGACCTGTGGACCTTACGTGATGGTTAAGCCTGACTGTCAATTTGATGAGGGTTTTTTTTTGTTTGTTTGTTTTTGTTTTTCAAGACAGGGTTTCTCTGTAGCTCTGGAGCCTGTCCTAGAATTAGCTCTTATAGACTAGGCTGGCCCTGAACTCACAGAAATCTGCTTGCCTCTGCCTCCTGAGTGCTGGGATTAAAAGTGTGCGCCACCAAGACCAGGCTCAATTTGATGAGTTTTAAAATCATCATGGAAATAAATCTCTGGGCGTGCCTGTGAAGAAGAGTCTAGATTAGTTTAACTAGAGGTCAGACAGTCCACTGTGAATGTGGGCAGCACTATTCCGTGGGTGAGGGCCCTAGACAGAATAAAATGGAGACAACACCCGCGTTCCTGGCTGTGGACTCTGTGGCCAGTTGCCTCCCACCTCTGACTCCCTGCCTTCCCTGCCACAGTGGATGTGCCCTTGAACTGTGAACCATCATAAATCCTTTCTTCCTTGAGTGGCTTCAGGTCAGGCATTCAGTGACGGCAACAAGAAAAACAATCAAAACACCCTGAAACTTCTGATACCGTGACTCTAGGGAGGGGTCCTCACGGGTGCATCTGTAGTGAGTCCCCAGGGGTTGCCGATTTTAGAACCAATGGCGCAATGGGTAGTGGTAGTGGCCGCAAGACCAAATGCGACCTCCTTTACCCAGCTGTTTGACTTCAGGGGATTTTCCCCAAGCCCTTGCTACTTACAGCTTGGTCTGGTGCCATCAGGGAAACGGAATCAAAATTTGCATTAAAAATATTTTATTTCGCTTTTTAAGTGCATGTACCTGAACGGGACACTTGAGGCGTCAGGAGGCAGCTGGCCACACTGAGTTCCCTGCGGGGAAGCAGAGGCTGATGAATGCAGGTATTGTCTCCATTTTATTCTGTCTAGGACCCCCACCCACAGAATGGTGCCACCCACATTCACGGTGGGCCGTCGGGCCTCTAGTCAAACTAATTGAGAATATTCCTCACAGACACACCCAGAGATTCGTTTCCATGGTGAGCTTAAAACTCATCAAATTGACAGTCAGAAAATGATGTGTCCTCTCTTTATTTTCCACTCTCGATTTCAAGGTTTCTAGTTCCCCCGAAAATGCAAACCACTCTGTAGGGTTGAGGGCAATGGGCTTACAGTTGCGCCCACTCTTGGACATCTGCTTAAGAAAGTGGGAGGGAATTCTAAAGCAAATGAGTGTTTAATGGCGAGACATGTGCACCTCTAAGGAATTAGAGGTGGCTTAAAGTGAGTCAGGCTTCAGGGTAGGACACTGGATGCTGACAAACTTGCAAACTGCATCCGACCTCCCTACTTTCCAGTTCAGTTCTGAAGTCATTTGCAGAATTATTTGTATTGTTTTCTTCCCCTGTGAGCCAGAAAAGCTGGGAAGGCTTGTGAAAGCTTCTTCACAACGAAGCTTGGCAGCTCTGTCTGGGGTGCTCCCAGGAACTTCTGAGGATATGGTCCATCTCAGCAGGGGCCCTCAAAGTCTCTTCATTTGTTCCTGGACTCTGGCTCCAGAGGTGGAAGCCCTGATGTGTTGGGGATCCCTTCCGGACCCATCATTAGTGGTTTGGGGGTTTGGTTTGTGTATACCCTGGAACGAGTCATCATCACTTCTTAAGCTCCAGCTCTCCAGTCCTTTAATTATCCCATCATCATGGGGAGGAAATAAAACATGGAGAACCCGAGCAGCCACCGCCCGGGGTTCTCCTTGCCATGTGGGCAGATTCCTGAATACAAGACCAGAACTGGCTTTAGAGAACACTGGCCTGCCTTGGTGTCAGAGGTCTGCCCATGCCCAACACAAGCTGATGGGAATTCTGTTGAGGGTACCCGTAAAGGTTAGACATGTATGCACACAAAGAGGACTGTGCTGTTTCCAGTTTCCAGAATGCTTGTGGGAGATGAGCGGAGTGGGGATGAGGAGCAGAGGCAGCTGTGGGTAACCTTTCAGAGCATAGGAGCTGCCTGTTTGGCTGAATACAAGATGACTCCTGCCACCCACAAGGCCCGACTGCAGCATGAGTGCCACAGCAGGCTGAACCATCAGGAGAGGCCCATCCTTTCCTCTCTCCAAGTTTTCTTAAAGAAGGCAAGGGTGGCCGGGAAGCTTCTACTTGCTGCTTCAGATACACAGGCAAATAAACAAATTGAGCCTTTGAAGCAACCAGCTGGGTTGCTGGGTTCCTTGTTTGTAAGGGAGCAGCCACCGATATGTCTGCTCCAGCTGACCCTGACTTTCTGTGTCAGTCCCTAGCTTGGCATGTCCCTTTCTGGCTTAGTCTGCCTCCTGGACTAGAAGCCATGCTTTCTTCTTGAAGCAGCTTCTTACCGTTCACTCGCCCTTGCTCCTTTGCTATCTCTAGATTATGATCGCCTTTGTTATTTTTGTTTTCTTTTCGAGATGGTGCCTCTTGTAGCCTCCGCTAGCTTTGAATGCCTGATTCTTCTGGCCCCAGGTCCTGGACACTAAGATTACTAGCCTCGACCTCCACAGCTGGCCCCACCTGTGATTTTTAACACAACTCGACTCTCCTTTGTTGCAAAAGCTGAAGAATAGAAAAGAACTTGAACTTTAGAACCACCTTAGAACTCTGATGCAGTGTGTTCGATTGGTTCTGTGTATGTACCAGGCTGGGTCAGAGCTGAGAACAGTGCGTGGAAAGGCCCACAGCACCTGTTCTGCCAGCGCAGGAACGCAAGGGGCGCTCTGTTCCAAACACGACGTGTTATGAGAAGGTGACAGCTTCCCTCCGCGGTAGGGCACCAGGACTTGCTCCTGGAGACTCTCTGCGAACATGTTTTAAGTCACCTAAATCTAATAATAAATCACTTTGTGTTGAAACCAGCTGGAGTGGTTTCTGCTGGCGGCAGCTGTCTCTGGACCGAGGTTCTGCCTGGGCACTTGCCATCTTCCCTGAACTCTCCAGCTTCCTTCCCTGTGTTCTTGCCAGCCTGAGAAGCTCACCACAAGAGCCACGGCATGTAATACCCAGGCCTGACATGGCATCTGATCTGCCTTCCCTGTCCCGTGCTTCCTGGCACATTTCCTGGTATGAAAGCGGCTGCTACCCCTGCCAATCAAGGCAGGTCCCATGGCCTGAGCAAACAAAGAAAGTGACTGTGCTGAGCCTGTGTGAGCTTGTGCTGTGTGACTTTCGCCGGGGAAACGAACACACATCCCTTCACCAGCAACAGACCGAAGAAACAACTCCATCTAGTGTACCGAGCCACGGAATTTACTGGGGTCACTCACAGGAGTGTGGATGAGGGTAACCCCTCATCCTTCCAGGGGCACAGATAATTCAAAGACAGCTGCACCGCCACAAAGCCCACTCCAGCATGGGTGGCAGTTCCTGAGTGCTACATGCAACGGGGATGGCCAGACTCCCCTGTTCCAGGGCTTGTTCACCCCTGTTAGAGTCTTGGGGAGGAGCCTTGAGAACCCGCACCTTCCTGAGCTCCTTGACTCTCGTAAGTCCCATTAGCTTCTAGCATCTTGGGGAGCTCCATCTTTGCTGCAGGAGGGAAGATTGCAGCAGGGGGAAGTGGCTACACAGTAGCCTGAGACATGCATGGGTGGTGCCAAGTGGGTTTCTACAGCATCACCAAGCCATCTTGCTTCACGTTTGGTGTCCCATGGCTTTGGAGACTGATTAAAAATTTCCCATACGTATCCTATTCAGTGACCTGACCTTTGAGGACACATGGGGTTCTTATTTACTTGACACATTAAAATCACTCTAATCCTGCCAGGCAGTGGTGGTGCACTTGGGAAGCAGAGGCAGGTGGATCTTTGTGAGTTTGAGGCCAGCCTGGTCTACAGAGTGAGTTCCAGGACAGTCAGGGCTACACAGAGAAACCCTGTCTTGAAAAAAAAAAACCAAAAGCAAAGCAAACCAACCAACTCACCACCACCAAAAAAAAAAAAAAAAAAAAAATCCCTATAATCCCAATACTGGGGAGTCTAAGCCAAGAGGATTGTTGAGACCTGCTTGGGCTACATAGTGAGTTCCATGGCAGCCTAGTTCTTGTGTTCTCCCCTTCCGGTGTGTGTGTGTGTGTGTGTGTGTGTGTGTGGTGTGTAAAGAAATGTCTCATTAGTTAAGAGCACTTGCTGCTCTGCAGGGGACCAGAGTTCAGTTCCTATTTCTCAAATCTTTCAGCTCAAAGCAATTGTATCTCCAATCCCCAACGACCCAATGCCCATTTCTGGCCTCCATGGGCACTATATTCACAATCTGTCTCCCATTGCCTGATTACACAGTTAAAAAGGAAGACCTTACTTTTTAAATGACTGAAAAAGGTACTTTTCATTCGAAAGACTGCTATTTATGTGGCTTTCTGAGTGTTATAAATAATATTGTTCAGGGAATCCTTTCGGGAGAATTGAACATCTGTGCAGAAAATAAGAAACCCTTGTAAATAAAATGTGGGCACTCTGGGAATCAAGCGTGTTAAAGGACCAGAATCACACCGACTCCACACTTGTTTGAAGTTCGGTGTTATGGATTATTTTCTGATCTGTTGTACCATTGGTCTCCCCTAAGGCCATCTCGGAGTAGGCAGGTGGATTTACTCTGCAATTGCTAAGAATGTCTAGAAGTCTGGAAATGGCTACAAACAGGGGGGCGGGAGGGGAACGGTGACTGAGAGGCCAGAGTGAGCTTTACTCTTTTTCATGTGATGAACTCTTGGGTAACCCTACAAAGCTTTTCCTGTCCCACTACATCACTGCGCTGTGGGCCAGAGCATCCAAGAAACTGCAGGTGTCTCTCAAAGCCTGCACTAAGGAAAAACTGTCTAGTGACACACCTTAGATAGCAAAGAGGTTTGGCATGTGCACAACACACATGTACACACATGCATGCATGTATACACACACACACACACACACACAAGCATTGCTTCTTTTAAAGCACAATTATTTTTGCCTTTGACCACAATCCATTTCTGAAAACTATTGTAAAATGATCATATTTTTCCCATAAGAACAATGTCATAACTGGGCGTTGCAATCTTGACCAACAGCTTACTATTAAATAAACCATGGATATGATAAAAATATCTAATAAAAGTAAAGATGCAATAGCTATAAGCCTTTATCATAATTTTAAAGAATAAAAATATGCTGTCATATAAATGGACTTGGATATACTATTTACATTGATTGCATAAGAAATATCAATGAACTATAAAGTCTATATAATATAAAAATATGAGTGTAGTACATCATAAGTTTGACCTAAAACTGATATTTGAATTGTAAACATTAAGCATTTAATTAAGCATCATTTTTCTTGCTTTCTTGGAGGCAAGGAGAACATTTTAATAAAATTATTTGAATGCCCAGGTTCTTTAGAAAGTGTCAGCCAAATGCTTACCGCTTACTTCTGATCTCAGTAAATTTCCCACTAACAAGTGGCATCATAAAAAACATCTCACTCATGACACAGTAGCCCATGGGGACACCTAATGCCACCAACTGCCGTGGTCCAATCCACTAAATCGGCGTTGTGTGTCAGGGGGGGTATGGATATTATTATGAAGGCAAGAGATTTCCTGGGGAAATAAGAGGTAAGAACAGGGGCTGTGTCAGTATGGCTTCCTTAGCTAGCACATTCTGTGTGTATCTAGTGTCTAATGCTCATGGCCTTAGAGAGAACATCTGCTTCCAGTAGCCATGCGGTGCTTTGCAGATCCATTTTAGACAACCCAGTTTAAGGGCTCCAAGAGCTCTGCCAAGATTTCTTAGTAGCGTAACACTTTGAAAACTTGCTGAAAACAATTTACTAGTTGAGCAATACCTCTGCATGGACTTTGTTTAGACTCTAGGGTCAATGGAATTGCAATGCTATGTCATGACAATGTGTTCCCAAAGTAGACTCATATGAAAACAGAAGAGGTGTTTACAGCTGAATCCATGAGTACCTGCCCATACAATTAGCATAGACAAATACTATAAATCGACCACCAATGGTCTGCCTGTTGTTGTTCAAATAGTTATGCTGTTTCATCTTTAAGAGTACACCAAGAAGACAGAAGAGACCATTCAACCGATGATTTCTAGGGTATTGGCTTGCTCAAATGCCAGATGCAAAGGGATATTTGAAGATGTTAATATTCCCAAGATACAGCTGAGCAAATATTCTATTCACTACAATGGACAGTCTGAATTACTGAAAAGTAGCTGGCTTTTATGGTCAATTGGCTGGAGATGCGTTACTGGTAATAAACTGTAAATCTTAGCATAGCGCCATTCGGATCAGCTGGAATGATACTTTAAGGAAAAGAGAAAATGTAAGAATTTATACAGCATGCCAATTTCATTGTAAGTGTTATTAATAAATTAGCAAGAAAGGGGGGAGCTAAACGATGAATCGCTGGAATTCATTAAACTAGAGATGATGATCTCTGTACTTGTGCCAATTATTTTGAAGGTGGAGTGCTTGGAGGACACAGAGCATCCAAAGCCACGACAGGAAAGTGGGGAGCCCTGCCAGTGGGACATCATGGCTCTCTGTGGCTGTCCAGGAGTTATAATCCTTGTTGAAGACTAACTGAAGGTGAACTTGAGCCGGTTCCTGGAACGTTCGCTTTTTATCTTGGTAGTTAAGTGGAGACTGGATGCCAGGCTATTAGTGCTTGTGGGACTTTGTGCAAATTTGTATCTTGTATAAGTCTTGATTTTTTCCCCCGCTGTAGTTAGAATAAAGGAGTTAGGTCTTGTAGAGTTGACTCAATCAATATTAAATTGTCAGCATTGTGCTCCCAAAAGTGTATATCGTTTTACACATTGCATAGTACTGTATATAAATTGTAACATAATCAATAAAACAATTATTACTCATATATTCATATATTAAGCATCTTGGGTTGCTATGAAAATAACATGGGTTCTGTGGCTTAAACAGCATTTATTTCTTCTAGCTTTGGAGGCTGAGAAGCCCCAAATCAAGGTATGAATAGGTTTGGTCTCAAGGCCCATGGAGAGGCCCCTTTCCAGGTCTCAAAAGGCTGCCATTATTTTTAAAAATTAGTGCAATTTTCAGATGCTATCTCTTTGCTGTGTCCTCATAGAGGAGAAATGGTGCCTCTTCCTTTTCTTATAGAGGCACCAGCCCCAGCACGGGGAGGTACCAGTCCCAGCACAGGGGGCACCAGTACCAACATGGGATTCTAGCCCCACAATCTCAGAAAACCCAATACTTCCCAAAGATCTTATTTTCTAATATTTTCACTTTGGGTGTTGAGACTTCAGTACATGAATTTGGAGGAGACCTAAACATTCTGTAACATAAACATTAAATAATCAAAATAATAAGACTAATAAACAGTAATTCTTATTAGTAAATCCATTTCGGGACTATCCATGTTGAGATCTTCAGTTGAATGAGTTAACATCTAGTATAACTTTAGAATAACTTTAGAATAACTGACAGATTTCTCCCCCATCCCCTGTGCCCAGTGGATAGCAAATCAGCTTGCTGTCAGAGAAGGTATTTGGAGTGGCCTTGCACTGTGTTTGAACACTCAAGATCTTTGCAGTTTGTACACTCTTGGTGAAGTGTAAACTGCCCTTCAAAGGATTTAGCAATAAGAATATCCCAAAGAGATGTCACTTCAAGTTGGCTGCTACTTCCCTCAAAAACCAAAAGTCTGATCACAACCCTGAGACCACCAGTTTATTCCTGGCCTTTGCACAGGAACATCTTAGCTTCAGCTAGGATTAATCATGAACTGAAAGAGGGAATCCGAATGAACATTCTACAAATATAAGAAATCCCGTCACTAAGACAGCTCAATTTGCGTTCTATGACTTTTGCCTTAATTAGGGTTTCAATTGGTTGCAATGTTAAGACCCCATGATGAAAAGGACAACTTGGGGAGGAAAGGGTTTATTTTGCTCATACTCCCAAATCATAGTCTGCCATTGAAGGAAGTCAGGGGAGGAACCTGGACATAGGAACTGAAGCAGAAACCATGGAAGAAGACTGGCTTGCTCCTCCTGGCTTACTTGTTTGCTTTCTATTTTGGGGGGTGGGGGAGGAAAGGATTTATTTGGCTTATATTTCCACATTGCTGTTCATTACTGAAGGAAGTCAGGGCAGGAACTCAAACAGGGCAAGATCCTGGAGGCAGGAGCTGATGCAGACTACACAGAGGGATGCTGTTTACTGGCTTGCTTTACAGTCTGCTTTCTTATAGAACCCAGGACCAGCAACCCAGAGATGGGACCACTCTTTTGCTTTCTTTTACAACTCAGTACCACCTGCCCAGGGCTGGCACAGCCTGTGATGGCCTGGGCTCTTCCACATTTGTCTCAATCAAGAAAAGACACCTTAAACCTGCCCACAGGCCAATCTGATGAGGTCATTTTCTCAACTGAGGTTCCCCCTTCTGAAATGGCTCTTGCGTGGGTTAAGTCAACATTAAACAAGCCAACACAACTCTGACCAAGGAACAAAGTGATTTGATTCGTTTGATCCAGGCTGGATGGGCTGTTTGAAGAACCAGAAAAAGGACGGGGATATGTCTCCTCGCAATAGTGAGTGTCGATGAATGAATGCTTGGCTGGTGGAGGGTCGCCATGTAGATTTGTTAAGGAGAGAACTGATGCTCTTTCCTCCAGCAGCGTTTGGAGGAGAGAAGGAAGCTTCAAGATCCCAAATGGAGGCACATTAGCCTGAAAGGATGGATGGGAACAGGTGGGTCAGCTGGAACGTAAGGATCTGGCCTCTCGCTAGCCTTCACAACGGTCAGTAATTCAAGCTCCATTTCCTGATTGGTGGTTCCTAGGGGACGTTGGGGAGGGGAGTCTTTCCCTGTTGATAAAGTTTAATGTCAAGTGCAGAGTGATTTCTTTACCTCCAGGCTTTTCCCTCACCAACTTAGAGGTGGCGGCTGTTTTTCTGTCAGACGCAAGCTTCCCTTAATGACTGTGTAGTTTATTACCCAGTAGGTCATATCCTGTATATTTTGAGAACAAACACCTCAGAGACTGTGACTTGGTGGCAGGAGATGACATGTGTCATTGCTATTATTTTCACCAGAGCTTGGTGGAGAAACTAATTACCTTTTCATCTGGGCAAATGCAGAGGTCAGTTTGCCACCAGTATATCACTACATGGCAGGGAACAGGGGTAATTAGGTGGGATGTGTAACCTGGATATTCCGTGGATCTCATTACATCTTATTTAGAAAGGCTATAATTTGATTGGTGGAAAATTAAGGCATCTTCTCATGGGTCATTTTATCTTTCTGCAATAATAATTCTTGGCTTGATTAAAAATTGATCCAGTGTCTTGAAGTGAATTTATTATTGCTGCAATCTATCACCCCGGACAGATAATCTGGTTCCCATCTTTATCTGATTTGAAAAATCTGTCACTTATTATGTCTTGTTTTTTTTTTTTCCCCAATCATTTAAATTGATAGCGTTCTAGGAAGGCATTTACAACCCCAGGTTTCTTGGAGAAACACTTACAGAGTACGTGAGCCCATCCTTTTATGGTAAAGGGCTGGATAATCTGTCAATTTTAATAAATCGATTTTGAATTCGTCTAAAGCAACATTTTCACTATTAAAACTAATCAGGGCCTCACTTTGGGGAGTGAGAACGATTGGGGGATAGTGGCAAAGTGGCGTCGCCTCTCCCTCTCCCTGTCTCCTTTTGTGAAGCCAAAGGGCTTTAATTCTTTTTATAGATTCCAAGTCCACAAGACTTCCCTTTGAACCCTGAGGAGCCAACAAAATATTTTTAATGACTCTTACACACCGGTCCGTAGGCTGGGGAAACATTTGCGTTATTTCAGGCATCAAAAATGCATAATAAATTTAATTATTCCCATTTCTAGGTCCTCTCGGTACATAGTACCAGTCCAGAGAGAAGTTAGGAAACTTGTAAGCATCCAATCCATTTTGACTTCCCTTTTCATAGTAGCCGCCCCTTATTAGGTATTCCCGATTTTTCCCTTTTAGCAGTAGCTGCCTCCCGTGAGATATTCTAGAATTTCCCTTGTGCATTAACTTCCTTCTGGACCGAACCAGTGTTAATGGGGAGGCTGACACTGCACAATCAGTTTCCCAAGGCCTTGCTGCTGGTGAGTGGCCTCACCAGGCAGGAACCCCAGGGCTCTGACATCACAGCTATTGCTCTGCTTTAGAGTGATCTTCCGGAGAAAGAAGTGCAAAGGCAGCAGCTTCAGCAAAGCAGTTAATACATATTCATTAAGGGTTGGTGCAATCGAGGCCTCTTCTTGGGCACTTGTGTAATACAGAAAAGAATGTGACAAGAGATCTTTTTTTTTTTTTAAAAAGTGAATGAAATGTAAACAAAGAAAATTAAATAACAGAAACAATAGAAAGATAAGAGTGCAACCCCTTCCGACACGACACATTCATTCCAAATGGATGATAGACGGCTGGGGACCCAGGGACATAGAGCGGGCTCAGCAACACGGGTGGGCCAGCCATCTTGGAGGGCTTCACGGAGAGGAGGAGTTTGCAGCGCGTCTGACGAACCTTCTCTGCTTCGCCTGATTTTGTCCTGGTTCATCTGTGTACTTCCTTGTAGAAATCCAGTTTAGCAAGAGCCCTGCTAAACCGGCCGAGCCGAAACCCCCAGGCTCCCTATCTGTCCGCTGGGACATCTCACATACTCTGTCGTCCGTTACCTCACAGGCGGTGTCTGATCACCCTAGGCCTGACTTCACAAGGATCCTGTCAGGCCAGTCGAGTCAGGATTCCCCTTGACCCCTCAGGATTCCTCTTGGTCATCTCCCATGGGCCACCCCACCCCTGCTTCTTGGGTATATCATCCATTTGCCCATGGTGTACGCTGACTTGAACCCTATTCTTCTGTGAGGTATCTTTCGCCTTTTGTAACAGTCCTGAGTGACACGTGGTGTTTTTGTTTTGTTTTGTTTTGTGAAGACAGTAAAAATCTGGAGAGAGAAGGGAAGAGAAATGGCTTTCTAGATGGGAAAAAAAAATGGGGTAAAAATTCGGGGAACTGGGAAGCAGCGGGAGGATTTGGGGAACAAATGCCTTGAGCAGAGACAAAGGGCTGGCAGGAGGAAAAGAGGTCATAGGTCATTCCTGGTGGTGGCTGGTGAAGAGCGCATGCGCAAAGGTGAAGAGCGCATGCGCAAAGCAGACCTTAGGGAGCTGCGTTGATCCATAGTAGAGATAGTGCAGGAGGAAGGGATGGTTGCTGACCCCCTGGCACAGCAAAGCCCCCAGCCCTGAGGAGAGGTGGCAAGAAGGCCTTTAGCAGCAGGAAAACCAAAACTGCTGCCATTTGGTCTCACATGGTGGCTTGGGAAACTAGCAGCTATACTCTGCTTCAACCTGATCTGGATCCTCACCTGATCATCGCTGTCACCTCCCATTCTGACACGTCTCAGCTCTGAGGCTTCTGGTTGCCTCTCTCCCTGCTTGATCGCAGTCTGGTGACTTGACGTTCCTTTTCTGGCTGTTTCCTTGGATGGCTTTGCTGTTCATCGGCGCCTGTCTCCATCTGTTATGCTGGCTGGTTTATGACTAAAACTCACCACCCTAGTGGCCCTTATTGCAGTGGACTACCCAGCCCTTAGACAAGCCAAGGGGCTGTGGTAGGTAATCACCAAGGAAGGGGCATGCACACTCTGAAATCCCAGCTATTGGGAAACTAAGGCATGAAGCTTGTTCAAGGCCGCGTTATAAGTTCCATGTCAGTCTGTGTTACAAA